TATCCTTCATACAAACATTTGAATATTGTGAAATTATTATTTGAAGTTCATATCAATACCTTCATTTCTTCAATTTATATCATATCGAAACGGTTTCTGATGGATTGACGCGCAATTTCATAAGCACCTTTTTTGGAACAGGAACAACTTCAATTTTGTTCAATAGTCAATAACTCGAAATTAAAACGCACTCAAAAACCAGCATAAAAACAATACTGTCCAACAGCACTATACAGCACTAATGGAAAATATCAAAATCTGACAAAGTGTGACCAAAAAAATACAACCCAGAGAAATTTACTTAACACGTAGCCACATCAGATTTTGGGACCTCTCCAAATTTGAATGGTTTCAAACTTGAAGTGGTCATCATACATTCAGTTTGAATGTATGATGACATTCAGTTTGAATGTATGATGACAAAAATTTTTTGGGTGCATGTGGTTGTCCTGTCTAAAACTGTCGTTTTTAGTAAATATTCTGCATACGAGATAATCCAATCCAAAATAAAGGTAATTTTATGCCAATAAAATATCATTGGGCATGTGGCCTATTGATATCAGATATTTCAAAATTCCATTGTTCTTCTACAGGTGCTGCATACATAAAACACTTCAAACAATTATTTTTCAATAACTCGGACTTTCCACCGTTTTCCGTGAAGCCCCGAAGAGTCAATTCTGCTTTCCACACATTTGTCGCAGCTGTTTATCAAATTCAATCTATATTTCTCACTCACAATACTTCTGAATGTTTTGTATGGGAAGTCTTACGTTAAGGTGAGAAACGTCATCCGTTATCGCCAATTCGTTCGGTGAAAATTCATTTATATAACTCGATGCATTCAAATAAAACTCGAGTTAGAAAAAAACTTGACTATTGAATAACAACATTTTTGAAAGGAGTTCAGTCATTCAGTTGTTAGATGTATGTACATATTCTGCTTTTGCAGAAGTTTTCTTTGATTTGGACTTAGATCTATGACAAATGGTGAATCTTAATATGTCACAACTCAGTAGACTGAAATTGATTAGTTCATCCAGTTCAGAGCTGATAGTATAGAGGTTCAATCAAATTCATATTCAATGATTTCAATTATTTATTTTGTGAAAAATTCATTTTCATTGTGGATACACTATAAAAACACACTTTTGTCTATTTTCCGCAATAATTTTATATTCATTGACTGATTTCGGTCATTACACCATTTTCCAAACTAACAACAAACATACTAGACTAGACTTGTTTATTTCCAAAGAAAAATCCCAATTCTGTTATCTTTAACGAACAACTTGATCTAAATAATAGTCCTCTCTTGAACCTATAACCCAGTTCCCAAAACCTACATTTTATCAAAATTTTTTGTTATGTTCATCGATATACTGCTATTAATTGAGGTTATCCCAGGTATAAACAATGTAGGTATCAAATTATTTATGATAGGTTTAGGCAATGTGATTTGAATATAATCTAGTTAGTTTTGAAAATGGCGTAATGACCGAAATTAGTCAACAAATATAAAGCTATCGTGCAAAATAGACAAAAGTGTGTTTTTATAGCGTATCCTCAACAATCAATGATGATGTTGATAACTGTAAAAGAGGAAACAATGAGTCACAATAAATATTTTTTTCATGTATCTGAAACACAGGATTCAACATATGATATGAAAGGCATTTCCCAAAAGTGGAGGCACTATCACGAACGAAGATTTGCCAACTGACAGTAACCGATATACCAATAGGCGATTTCAGCAGATAAAAGAGTTAAGGTCTAGTAGTAGAAGTGGCAGTCATACCATCCGTTGGTGTAACTGTCGATGAGACACGCTTCATGCCACAATTGGAAACTGTCGGAGGGCATTCCACGAAGTTAAGACCCTGAAGCTAAAATAACTGGTTTGTACGAATCAGAACAAGCATGAACAAACCAACCAAAGAAAAATCTGTCTTTCTGTGACTTCTCCACTAGCTGACTTCATCCTTATTCATATGTGATATGAACGTTTTTCACAAATTTGGAGAATAGTATTTATAACAATTATTGTTAAGCTCTTAAACTTGGGATCTCATATGCTGTCAGTGAAGCTGAAAATCATCACAAGGTCAAATTAAGTTAGAACATTAGTATTACCTTCCTTTCTTTCTTTCATTTCAGTTGATCATTGCTTCCCAATCGCATGCATTTGACCAGTCTCCTTCTGTTTCGAAGTAACAAGGGCATCGTCGGGACCGTTGCTGTCTTGCTCTAGGCATTGCTGCTAACCCCTTTTTTGCCGCTTGCTTTTCAATCGATTTTTCCATCTACACATAAATCACGCTTTTTATATCAACTTCTACTCCGTAGACCTTTGCACCACCGGCTCCGAGGTGTATTTAATTTTTTCATGATGCTGATTCTTTCACGTGTTAATCCGAACCATCCTGGCCTGGGTACCGACGTAAATAAAACATATTTTATATTTCACTTCATCACAATAACAATTGATTTTTGGGAAAGAAAGTTTTTGGTTTTCTACTACTCCATCTTGATACACATCCATGTATTGAGTTACTTCCTTTCTTTGGAAGACTCCCTCATCCTTCTTTTTTTTGTATCAAGATGGAGTAGTAGAAAGCCAAAATCTTTCTTTCCTAAAAATTAATCACTCCTAAAAAATATAACCCCTTCAATTCAAACAATTGAAATCGGAAGTTCCGCGGAAGCCCCGAGTATTTCGATTATCAATTTTCACGAACTGTTATTTTGACAGAAAACTACCAAACAGTATACTGAAAAAAAAGCTAAAAATGAACTTAATAGTCAAAATTATGCTAAAAAAGTTTGTTGTTGGGTTGGTTTTCATCTTTCAACCTGAATCTGGATTGATCAATGTTCTCTTCTATAATCAAATTAAAAAAAGCCAAAGTTTATAAGCTACCCTGTTATCTAGAAAAACGAATGAAAATCAATCCAACATTTTTCCAACGTAAATTGTAGATCAGGCCTTTTAAAAAACCCTACAACAAAAGCTTCTAGTGTTTACACTTTTGGTGATGTATACAGTGTGTAAAAGTCAAATGGAATAAATTCATTATTTCGGTTACGGTACATATTTTAACAAAATCCCGAAACACATCAAATCTTAATTATAATTTGACATATTTCAACGGAAAAATGCTACCCCTATCTTCAACCCCCGTCGAATGACAGGTACAACTTCCAATTTTCTAAATGGGAAGTATAGGCTTGTCTCATATCGTTTGTTTGAAAGGTCTCTTCATTCTCTATTCAAAAATCTTATCGCTTTCAAATTTATTGCAACAAGTAAGATAAAATCAATTAAAATCATGAGGTTACCGAAATTCGATAAAATACACTCAAAACTTATTGCAATATACTCAAAACTTATTTCATGTTGAGGTATTGATAAAAAGAAAGTAAACAAAAACCATAGCAATATTCTTTTTAGATGGTATCCTTTAAAAAACTGTAAACAATTTCCGTGGCAACGGTAGTTTGAAACGCCTTGTCAACGTGTTTTTTATGTTACAACAGTAGTAGTCAGTATTTTAATTTAAGTTTAAAGTTCGTTAACTTCAAGTCTGACAAATTGTTAGATTAACGGAAATGCATAAAATAACAGTTTTACAAATGATTGGTTACGGAAATAAAACCCGAACACAAGAGCATTTTCATGTGGGGTAGATAAAAAAGCAGCTGCCAATGCAATGAGTGATGAATTCATATTAAATGTGATGCTTGAGTTTGAGGAAAACCCACATACATCGAGTAGACAGGCATCCACTACATTCAATGTTAGCCATACATCGATAGTAAACATATTGAAAGAAAATAAAATGCATCCCTATAAAATGAAACCTACTCAGGAGCTCATGTAAAACGATTTTGATAGAAGAACTTATTTTTGTGTACAAATGATGGATATATTGGATAACAATATCATCCAATTCGAAGACGTTATGTTTTCTGATGTAATTCCGAGTTTCGCAAATTTATATTCTGATCCAGGAAACCCTCAAGTTCCAGTGAATACGATATGGTTTCATCAGAATGAAGCACCACTATATTACCAAGTTAATGTCCGGCAATGCTTCAAAACACAACATTACCCAATCAGTGGATAGGGAGGCGAGGATCGATTGAATGGCCAGCGCGATCACCTGATATTTCATCATTAGATTTCTTTTTATGGGGATATATAAAGAACAATGTGTATAAAACTAATCCTTCAGATTTTAATCACCTAAAAGATCGAATAACGCTTGCGATTAGGTCAGTCACGCCTGATATGTTAAATAATGTTAGAAGACAGTTTTATTTGAGATTATGATGTTGCCAAGATGTTCGCGGTGAACATTTTCAGCATTTACTTCGTTAACATCCATAGTTCTTTTTCATATTCTACATTTCATTACGTTTTGCATTACATTTTAGTGTTTGAGTGTATTTTATCGAATTTCGGTAATCACATGATTTTAATTTATTTTATTTATCCAATAAACTTGAAAGCGATAACATTTTTCAATAGAGAATGAAGAGACCTTTCAAACGATAAATCACAACCTATACTTCTCATTTGAAAAATTGGGGGTTGTACCTGTGATTCGAACGGGGTTGAAGGTAGGGGTGGCATTTTCACGTTGAATAAAGTCAAATTATAATTTTCATTTGACGTGTTTCGGGATTTTTTTAGATATGTACAGTAACCGAAATAACTCAATCCGTTTGGCTTTTACACTCTGTATGTTATTAATTGAGAAAGGTTTTTTTAAAATGGTGATATCTGAAATGAGAATCGAAATAGTTTTGGAGATATTTCAAGAGTTATTTTATGATTTAAACATATATCTATACTACAAATTAAACTCTAGTTTTTAAAAATTATCGCAAAAGCCATCGAATGTATAAAAAATCAAGTTCGAAAGCGTGCCCTAACTGCGAGTTTTCAGAAAAATATCATGTTTAGAATATCATGATTTTTCAAGGTATTTACCATTTCTGACCTGGGACTTCAACGAACTTTTTTTTTCAGATACCTAACCGTCTTGCAATGCATACCAATACAGCTGTCAAATTTTTCTGCGTGATTTTCTCGATACTCATCACAATAGCAGCAGTCTCACCTGCACCATATTCCGATTATGACAGTAAGTAGATAGATAGATAGTTAGATATAAAAGTTGAAAAGAATACTTTGTCCGAGAAATACGTCAGTAAACAAAATTACAAAAGAGTAATAAGATACAAAATCTGAATAAACCACATCACATACTCATATAAATATAGACAAACCAAGTTATGTCACAACGTTTCGATTGTGGATACTAACAATTTTTCATTTTTTTGGAAGTCCAAACTGATGAAATATCATACACAGGAGTTCTACTTCAAATGAATGGTAACAAATTGCACTTACATGGAACACTGTCATCCCTCACAATAAGAACTGTCAATTTTCGACCGAACTTTTAATTCAAGTAACACAAATTTAAGTCATATCGAATCATGATTCAAATATAAATATCTAGCTGAACAGTTCAATCTAGCAGACCACTATTATGATCTTCATGCAGTCATTGGTCACTGTGGTTCTAGCGTTGAATCTGGTCTGGCCTGGTTTAAGTTTGACGATAGTCGTGTCACTAAAAATTCTGGCGATATCTTGAATTCTTTGGAGCCTCTGTAGACCACCTTCATTCTATTCTATGAGAGAGAGGACATTGGCAGATCAAGATCTTCAGATGATGTGGTGCTGCAGGTTTTTCCGGGGTTTCCTGCTGCTGAAAAAGCAAATACGTCACTGGAATCAATCAAGTCGCCCCGGAGCGCTAATTGATTTTTGTTGTTGTTTTATAATTTGTATTACTTCCGTATCTATTACGAATATTCAATATCAAGAATATTCTGAATAGGGAATATTCATTAATAAAATCTACAAATGCTTTGTACTGGATTAAATGAGTTCGTGCAATTATTCGTTGGGGAGAGGAAAGATCATCTCTGTTATCTAAACAGCGTCAATCTATTGGAAGCAGAGAGTCTATAAAATATTCTGGTGCATCATTATTGAAACATTCAAAACTAATTCCTCATCAAACACCACACTAGAACAACAGAACTGACTCTCGAAGTGCGTTTGGCGTCATCAGGTGACTAAGTTTCAGTTATATCCAACAAAGTTGAGGACTTATTCTAAATATAAAGAGATGGTGGAAATAAAGAAAAATATAATTCCATTGTCTACGAAGTCGACTCTTAAACCAATGCAAAAACAACTACTTACATGTGAAAGCAATTTTTTGGGTTTTTTTGGCCGTGGTAACGGTCGCAGTGCCCAAGTTAGTAATTTGCTAGTATTCGACTCTGATTTTATATTGTTATTAGTAGGCGTGGCTTGGTTTCACGATTTTGTGTATAAAAATGAAGAAGTAGAAAGGCAAATAACTTTTTCCCTTCAAGAAGTCAATCATAAAAATCCGACAGCACATGTTGAGTAGATAGATTTTCAGAAAAACCAAATCACCTATCAGTAGCTGAAAGTTTTTCACGTGATTCAGAGGTCTTATTTGAAACGCTGAAAGTAGAGCGATTGATCTGTAATTTGCCATATGTGATTAACAAAGGTATTCTTTCCATAAATTGGTATCACTAAAGCAGACTTTAGGCTTTGGATATTTCTAAATTGAAAGACATGTTGAAGGTAAAAGTGAAGACCACTAACCAGCTCATTTCCACTCATTCCACGCTCTTTTCCACTCTCATTTGAATTACGGAATTATTTTAGTGAAAAACTCACCTCACTCTGTTAGAGTTTTTCGTCTTCAAAACCGTGCTATACGTTCGATGGCTGAAATTTCATTCAAGGCGTAAAAATGTATTATCGACTTTATGAATTTCCAAGTGGCACTAGATTTATTAGAGACAGACATAATTTTCTGGTAATTGAATTTTTTTTCACAAATTACTTTTTCTCATGGTTTCTTATAGGAAAAGCTTTCATCAACTAATAGTGCACCTTTTTTATGTGTGTGTGTGGTTTAAAATTTTTTGGCTTTGGGAGAACCAATTAGCCAGACTGTTTTAATGAAAAACTATTTGAAAGTAACATTGAGTAGTAGCTCAAACATAGATTTTTTCCATCGTTTTTTGATTTTTGAATTTTCATTTCTGTTTGTTTTTGTATTTTTTTTTCTTNTTCAAGTGACTTTTCAAAAGACAAATTTTGTGTGTATATGCAAATGTCATCTGCATATTGTATTATCTGAGAGTCTGTTTCAATACATTTTTCTAAATCTCTTGTATATAATATATACAGAAGAGGACTCAGAATGCTTCCTTGGGGTATTCCTAAAGATGTTTTACGAGGAATAGAAATAGTTTCGCCAATTTTCAAATATATTTGTCTTTCTGAAAACAACATAACCAGAAGGTAACATATATTTTTGGGGATTTTGGTTTCTACAAGTTTTTCAAATAGTAATTTCAATTGAACATTATCATAGGCTGCTTGAATGTCTAAAAATGCTGCTGTAGTGGTTTTATTTTCCGTGAATCCTATATGAATATCCATAACGATCTGAGAAACTGCTTCCTGAGTAGATCTGCCTCGTCTAAATCCATATTGAGATGCAGGTAATATTGATGTTCGTTCTAACCAATGTTCCAATCTGTTCTTTATTATTCTTTCGAAAGTTTTCAATATACAAGAAGCAAGCGAGATGGGTCGATAAGAATTTTCATCATTTTTAGTTCTTCCTTGTTTATGAATCGGCAGAATCAAGTAGTCTTTCCATTCATGAGGAATAGGTATTTCATTATTCAATATTTGATTAAAAATGTCTAGAATGGATTTTTTATGTGGTTCTGTCATGTGGAATAGCATGGAGTATGAAATATTGTCCTTGCCTGGGGCAGTGTTATGTGTGTGTTTCAAAGCCTTATTCAACTCCCACATTTCAATGTTTCTCGATAGATGGCTATGTTCATGATTACGTTGATCTACTTGAGTTGTAAGGAACATCTGATTAACTGAGTTGGGAGCTATTTTATTATGAAATTTGTCTAGCCATTCCTCTTCAGGATCTATTAGAGATACGTTACCTTTTTTATCAAAGAGAGTATGATCAATCAACTTTTTTGTTCCTAATTTCAAGTTTTACTTCGCTTGGTTGAAAAATGAGTAGAAACTAACAGAAAATAGTTCAAAAGCTGATTTAGATTATTCTAATAATAATATCTAATGATGATGATGTTTATTCATGAACAATGATGAGACAAAGTAGATTTTCGCATGATTTCGCAGAATTCTGTTCTTCGATCAGGGTCATCTTCAGTTGATTGGTGTACCTACCATTTTAATTTTGTATGGATGATACCTATTTCTCTTCAAAAGTCTCCACAGTAGAAGAAGACACCTCACAAACATTCACGACGGAATAAGTAGACTATTCAGGATTTTCTACCATCTCATCAATTATTTGCACTTGCTGTTCTTCCGGAAGGGGCTTTTTGTTATGTACACTACCGGTAGTTGTGAATTTAGATACAAGTTCCCTCAAATATTTTCTACAGACAGGACGATTCGTAAAACGTTCATTGAAAATCCTTTCGGTCTCGTGAAAGTTACGCGTCGCACCGTAAATAAAAATGGCTTCAATTTTTTTCTTTCGATGGACGAGAATTGACCATTTTAGAGATTGATGACGTGGTACATTTTCCTAGTAAAACCGAAAACTAAATAATAATAATGATAAGTGCATTGGGCCCGAGACCCTAATGCACTTGCTATCAGCATGTATGCTTATGCGGTCTCGGCCTATATCCATCGACATAACGCGGCCCTAAGAGTGCTATATTACCATCTACGGCACTTTTACGGTATTGACGAGACACCGGTATTGCCCTACGCTCCGGGGGATATTGATCCGTTGTGAGGAACGAGAAGTGCCAAATTTATTGGAACTATTCGTTCCCCACCTCAGGCTCACCAGAGCAAGCCGATAATAGTCGTGGATTTTTCAGCTCTTGGCGAGACGAATATCGTCCGAAAAGAGGAAAAAAAAACGGATAAAATATCGAGATTTTCTCTTCGAACTCCGCAGACTCTATCCAGACCACTCTGTCAAGATGGTTGTTCTGATTATTGGAGTCCTTGGTGGAATGATGTCCTCTCTTCTCTCGAATCTTAAAATCATACCGGCTTGCCGCACTAAGGTGAAATCTTAGCCGCACAGATGCAGAAGGCTGTCATTATTGACTCACTGCGCTTGCTCAGTGCACATGATTCTCGGGCCCGATGATCACTTACCCCACGGTGTGGGGAGTGGTCATTGGTTGATAATGCTGGCGTGCCGTCCCGAATGTATCGGAGCTTCGGGGGATAGGGCCTGACCAGCGCAAAATACGGTTGAAAAAAAATAATAATAATATCGTTTATAATGCATAAAAATTGCATTTATACATAAAAAAAGGGTTAGGCAAATGCTATCTTCCACCCCTCTCAAAAATTATGCAGTGAGTGTAAGAAAATAATTATAAAAATACTTATTTACTATCATAACAATGTTAGAGAAGAGAAAAAAATAATAGATCATACAGTTGCTAATAACTCTTGATATTCTCAACATTATTTTGGTCAATTTAACACCAACGTTTGCACTACCATACATTTAATTTTAAATTAGTACTGAACAGCATCACAAATTGATGAATATTATGATTTAAAAGGGGCGTAGGAAAAATATCCTTGAAATTTGAAAGTACGGTGCCTAGGTATGTTCAATGAGTTAACTCTCCAAATTGACCATATGTAAGTCACAATGCCTGCTTAAATTATATGAATAACTAGGTGTTTTAGTTTGAAGCTACTTAAAAAAAAAATTTATTAAGTACCTCACATTTGTTCTGTACCTCACATTCCGTTCCTTCATTTTTAGCAAAAATGGTGTGACATGTTCACCATATCGTATACAGCATACGAATCGCATGCAAGCATTTTGTATACGTTGTAACTTCTGCTTGTTATATTGCGACAAAAAATTGTGATACACCGAACGATATGAGAATATTCTAACCGAACAATGATATTCATTGTCGTACTGAAATTTTTTGTCGTTTTTATAAACAAAAAAAATTAACAAACCTTATC